GTAAAGGTATTGAAACGGGCCAAAGCTCGCGATTTTCAAAATAAAATACCTTAACTCCAATGCTGTATTATTTATGAACTTTCAAGTTTAATAAAAACACTTTTCTTAATATTTGCAGCATAAGGACATCATTCCTAGATTCTACATGACCCGCACTGTTACCACACAAAGAATCAAGCATTTCTACTGTACCATTCTGGAGAAAACTCACATTCCATGTGCAAGATTTGAAATCCAATACTGGATTTAGCAGGCGCTTGATGAGAAGGTGCCGTGGACACAGAAGCTGTGTGAGAGGTGGAAAGGGGAGGGGAGTGGTCGCGGATGCAGGTGAAGAGTTCGCCTCTCCCAAATGGAGTGGACGAAGGGAGGGTTGGCCCACTTAGTAAACTATTAAGTTAGTGACACCTTGACTTTCTTCCAAACAATGCACATTTCATTCATAATATTATAAACACACACCTAACAATTGCAATTTTTTGCTTTTCCCAAATTGTGTGAAATTGTTAATACAATAAAAATAGGTAATACAAGCATTGGAGTCACATCTGTAATGTGAGTTTTCTCCAGAATGATACAATAGAAATGCTTGATTCTTTGCGTGGTAACAGTGCGGGTCATGTAGAATTCATAAATGATGTCCTTATGCTGTAAATATTTAAAAAAGTGTTTTTATTAAACTTGAAAGTTCATAATTAATCCAGCATTGGAGTCACATCTTTAATGTGAGTTTTCTCCAGAACGGTACAGTAGAAATGCTTGATTATTTGTGTGGTAACAGTGCAGGTCATGTAGAATCCATAAATGATGTCCTTATGCTGTAAATATTTAAAAAAGTGTTTTTATTAAACTTGAAAGTTCATAAATAATACAGCATTGTTCTTATTTGCGCGTCTTGTGTATTACCATTATATTCAATAACATTATTGTTATTGAATATAATATAATACATGAGACAAACAGAGCGTGTAATAATGCTATGCATAACTTCATTTAAAAATTTGCGCGTGCAGATGTAAACAGCTCGTATATTTCCGGATGTGACGTTGAATGACAAAACAAAGAGACATTTTTATTGGATGACGCTGGTAAGTGACGACCCACCTTTGCAAAGGACCAATGAACCGTAGGAGAGCGCCTCGTCGAATGTGAGATTTGATATGATTCTTATTTTAGTTAGTAATTAAGCACTTTGTCAAAATGGTACTCAAAGTCTTTTGTTGTATGTGGACAGTTTGCTTCATATAATTTAGGAATTGATGGACTGAAGAAGTGCCATCCCTACACTTTTGCTGCTGGTAACGTTAGCGAAGTTAAGTTAGCTACTGGCTAACGTTAACCTTACAGTAGCTTGGTAATCAGCAAACCTGGTAGCTAACAGCTATAAATGTATTAACGCTAGTTACACTACTAACAGCTTGCGTTAGGTCTAAAGTGTAACAAACATAAAGGGTTTATTAAAATAAGTGTCATTTCTGGTTAATCCAACGGGATTACGTTGATGTGTCTTACATTTCGCAACAATAAAATGCAATTAACAGCTACTTTAAACCAGAATATAAAAAAACATCATGTAGTAGTGCCAGTAAAGCTAACTTTACATGGGACACTAGCGTCGAAGGTCAGAGTCCCGTTATTTGCCTGTAATACGAAATACTGAAAAAATGGTGATGAAAAAGTAAGAAGGTGTATTCTGTACTGAAAATGATATGTAACGTTACTGTCTCATTGCTTGATTATCCTGAGCAGATTGACATTTATCTCTACAGGTAAACCTCTAACCCCAACCCCACAACCGAGCAGGTCTTTGTGCTGTGCATTTGAGCTGTATGACTGTGTGTAGTGATTGTCATGGGTGTTGGTAAGGGCCAGAATAGGAAAAGGAGCTCTTCTTGCGTTTGCTTTTCTAAAATCTAGGCCTGTTTCATATAAAATCATATATTGAGTTACTAATCAGCCTCTTCAAACAGCTCTCACTCACAGAGGAGGGATGCACCAATAGGAGGAGAGTCGAGGCAGAGAACCCAGGGGCAACGGCGAGGCCAAGACAAAGCACAAGTGAGAGAAGTGGAAGAGGATGAAAGATGTGAGCAGCAAGTGAAAGAAACAGTGCCCAGGGGGACCTGCCAAACCATGTGCCCTGCTCGTGAGCTCCGGGACCGTGAAGTGCAGAACCGCCTTCACCGTTTTGAGATGTTAGCAGGTACAGAAAGAGATCGACGACCAAAGGGAGACCCCTTGCGTTCTGTCAAGGAGTATTCCAGACCAGCAGCTGGGAAAGACTTGACAAACTCCGCTGACCTCCGTCCACCTGCTGTGTTGCTGAAAACTGTATGCTACCTTATTGATGACATTGCTGCCTCCCATAGTCTGCATTCTTGGACTGAGGTTAGTAGTAGTAACACATCTGTTTCACAGTCCCCCACTTTTTATTGTTGTTAGTCTGGGCAACTGTAACTCATATGTTAGGGGAATTGTTCAATTAAAATTGAAACTCTTGGTATTATCTACACACCTAAATGACAGTTGAAATATCAGTTTGATTTTTCTAGACATGTAGCATGACTTAATGTAAACTTCCAAAGCAACACAAACCTCTTCTTCATAGTATGAAAAAGGTCCAAAATGGGCCATATAGCAATTCATGGGTCCACGGCATAGTTGTTCAGCTTCAAATTGCTGTGTTTACATAGCACAAACTGATTAGATCAATCTGATTGCCCCCTTTGAAACTCACTGTGGGTTAAGGTGACTTACAGACTTTATCTTTATTGCTCAACTGATGTTGACTAAAAAATGTCAAAACCTTAAGTGATCCATAGTTATACAATTAACTCTAATTATCAAATACAAAAACAAGACTTAAGACTTTTAGCGTACAGGACTTGCACTATTTATTCTGGCATGGCTAATTTGTTACTAGTGATGGGCATTTCAAGCTAAAATACTATTCAGTTTTCACCAGGAACTATTTGCAGATAACCCCCGCCAATAGCTCCATATAGGTAGTGTTGTCATGTGTCATGACAAAGTGGGTGTCACTGAAGGTTAAGGGCTTTTCTAGAATGTCTAAAACCCTTTCACAACATTCAAAGGTGTAAAGAAAATTACCAATGCTTGCTTTTTAGGTACAGTTTGCCAAGCTTTATTTTTCAGTGCCAAAGACTAAAGTCATTGCTCTGGCACCATACAAGTCCCCAGTGTTCCACGGTGGTGGAATGCACTCACCAGGTTTTCAGCAGTATGCTGGTCCAGCATTGCTTTAGTCTGAAGAACAGCACTCTGTATTTTCCAGTTGCTTGTATAATGGCAGGTAATCATCACATAGAATTCAGTTGTAAGCGCTGTCTATGCATCCATGGTCAGAGACACTTTTTCAACACTTGTCAAACGACTGTGCAGCTCACATGCATTATTGTGATGCAGTTTATCCCGCCGTGCCGTGATCATTTTTCATGATGATGATCATATACTCCAGCTGAACAATTGCCATCAAACTCAGAAAACCCTCCTCTTCGACAAAGCTAATGGGTAGCATGTTCTTTATCATCTATCATCTTTGTGATAGAAAGGCACGTTCGGCTTTTCCCGTTTAGGGGTCGCCACAGCGAATCATCACACTGACTATTCGCATGTTGACATTTGGCACGTGTTTTACGCTGGATGCCCTTCCTGACGCAACCCTGATTCGAACCCAGGCCGCAGCGGCGAGAGCGCTGCGCCTTAACCACTAGCCTGATGAGGGCTGTTATTTGCACTGCATGTTAATCGTCAGACTTCCTTCTTCAGGTGACAAAGCTAGCCACTGACTGTTGATCTGTGGACCGCACCTGACTTTCTGCTGGATGCCTTGCCTTCAAATGTGCACAGTTGTCATCAATTTATGATATGCTAACTTAACCTGGCAGCTCATTTTTGTTTATTTTCTTGAAAAAATTCCACACAGAACTTTTTGATGGCTGTAGTTTCTGCTGTTTGTATTTGGTGCTGTAGTAAAATGGTATACTGACCTCATTATCGCATTATTTCCAGGTGCCAGTAAAAGCAAAGAAAAACAGCAGTTCTTTGTTTTAACAAAACAGTCTCATGAAATAATGGATTTTTAAAAATGTCACAACTATTCCAATATTCAAAAATCTTTGCCCATCCCTGTTTGTTACTAACCCAGTCAAATCTTTGTAATAGTTTGTAAGTTATAATCATAGATGGATAAAAAAAACTTCTCCAAAGCATATATTCTTGTCTTCTAGGGTTACAGCTTTGTTTTTGATCGACTGCGTAGTGTGAAGCAAGACATGATCATCCAGAGGGTCTCTGGGTTGCACTGTGTGGCCATTTTAGAACGAACAGTACGTTTTCTCATCTATGCCTCTTATCGTCTTTGTGGCGAGCCCCTGCGGCTCTACGACCCTCGCATCAACGACACACATCTACAAGAGAATCTGAGTTGGCTGTTGGATTGCTATGCAGCTGGAACAGAACCACATCCCAACCAGGAAGAGTTCCAGGCTCTTGGTCTTCTGTACAACTTGGGTTGGTCACTGTATTTAATAGTTCATTGCTTGAGAAAGTTTTTGTATTGCTTTATTTCTGTGCATATTGCACATTGTATTAAAAGTGCAAATATGCAATAATCCAGAGTTATACTCTGATCACGGTTTTATGATGAGCACTGGTAAAAAGTTCATCATACCTCCAGATTAAATTCATGTAGAAGACAATAGAGTGTAGCACCAGTCACTGGTTTATACACAGAGGAAAGAGTTTGTTCATTATGTGTTCAAAAGCAGTCATATGGAAGTGAACATTTAATTGTGGCTCTTTCTTTGATCAGCAGATTCCAAACTGCTTTTGAAAAACATTTTTACAAGTTGGTCACTTCCAAGATAATCTGGAAATGTAAGAATGGATATTCCATGTTAGACATTTTTCTTTTTCCCCAACTCTCCCAGGTTTGGCTCGTGCCACACAGCACATCATGGAGCTCCCTGATGGGCTCCGCCATGCTCCTGCCATCAAGCTTGCTCTGTCCATCAACCAGGCTTTTCTGGAGCGAAACCCTGTGCGTTTGCTTCGATTGGCTCAGAGACTGAACTTCCTGCAGTGTTGTGCACTTCACCGGCACCTGGTGATATGTCGTAGAGATCTGCTGCTAGTATTCAGCCACGGATATAGCAGCCGCAACTGTCGCTTTCCTCTTGACAGGCTGGCTCAGCTCCTGTCCTTAGATACAGCACTTACAATCCGGCTCTGTAAGGATTATGGAGTGGGGGTCAATCAGGACAATCAAGTGGTTTTCTCTAAGGCTGCCTTCACTGAGCCTGAACAAGGGAAACTGCGCTGTAAACTGTACCACAGCATAGTGTCTGAGAAACAGAGAGACCTCACTATTGGGAGCATCATTCATGGTTGCACTTGAGACAAGTAAAAGGAGTAAAGTAATGTGATGCTATATTTGTGCTTTAAATGGTCTGTTAGCTCCTTCTGTCCCTCCACACAGAGGCCACAGTACCATGGCAGGGATTTAAACTCTTGTTACAGACACTTCAGCCATTCCGCTATTTTGTTGTTCAGAGGTTTCACATTTCTACTCTTGATATTGGGTTTAAGCCTTTGGGCTTCCTTTCAGGATGCTGAGCACTAAAATGTTTCACCAGTGGAATATTTTAGATTATACATGTTTACGATTAGGGTCAGGGTTGTTGGTGAGGTAAGGGTCTGCCATTCTCTATCTGCAATGAGTCAGAAGTTCTGGATGTGCTTTCTCACCCTCATTATGCACTTTGTGCCTAAATTACAACCCCATATCAGAAAGAATAGGGACTGTATATAAATCAAAATTAAACCTTAAAATAGTGAATTGTAAATCATCTGTGTCCTGTATTACATTGAAAACAATACAGCAGCATATTATTTGATGTGATACCTCATCAATTTTATTCTTTGTTCAAAATAAACACATTTTAATCCTGATCTCTGCAACACATTCCATAAAAAGTTGGGACAGCTGCATTTCAGGGCCAGTAATGAGGTAAAACAATGAAATGATGGTTCCATTTGAAATGGGAGACGTCAACAGGTGACTGCATCATGATTTGGTACAAAAGTGGCATCCAGGAAGGGCCGAGCCCTTTAGGAGCAAAGATGGGCCGAGGACCACCAGTTTGCCAACGTGTGTGAGAAAATTATTAAAATGTATAAAAACAATATTCCACAAAGACGGGAGGGGATTTTGATATATCACATTCTATGGTGCATAACATTAAAAGATTCAAGGAATCTGGAGGGATGTCAGAGTGTAAAGGGTGCAAGCATGACCGTGCTCTCCAATCCCTCAGACGGCGCTGCATCAAGAATGGTCACTCTTCTATAAGCGACATAACCACATGGGATCAGGATTACTTTGGCACACCTGTGTTGAGCACTACAATGTGTACAGTAGTTGCATCCATAAATGCCTCTTAAAACTACTGTGCCAAAAGGAGGCCCTATGTCAACAGTGTCCAGAAGCACAGCTGACTGCTCTGGGATCGGAGGCATCTGGGATAGACATCACAGAAAACTTACTGTAAAATCTATGGTGCAGCTGTTCATTGTCACAAGTGCAGCACCTCAAATGTTTTAATAAACTTTAAAGAGAAATGCTTAAACCTTTCATTTGAACTCATTGGTCAACTTTATCTCTTTGCAGCCCATTCACCACTTGAGGGCAGCAGATATTCGTGCAGGGCATCAGCGCACTCCAACCGGAGAGTAAAGATAACCCTGCTGCAAGTGTTTTTGTTGGGCTGTTTTTAAGCGCTTTGGCACAACTCGAAAAGGAGAACTAGTTGTAGCTGGTATAGATGTCAGCTGAACCAGAAGTACATGCCATGCAGGTGACTTATTAGTGCTTTAAACTGCGGGGTCAGTGGCGTTCCTTGCATTGGGATTAGACATGCCTTTGCAGCAGAGACGTGAGAGGAGGCACTTAAGTGAATGAAGGGCTGCAGCCTGACGCCGATCGCCTCCGGACTCGGTGTTGTAGGAGCATTAAAAGGTCGAACCGTTGAAAGGGACGAGCAGCAAGCGATGAAACGGGAGTGGGCCAAAATTTATATGACAATTCTTTAGTGACATTTTTGCACGCTGTAGTGGGAGGACGCTTACAATCTGTAATGCTGAAATATGAGAGAAGTGAACCGGGGCGGGTGAATGCACATGGGAGAGGACTGTCCGTGCTCTCTGGGCTCTGAAAACACTGGTTGGAACTGGATTTGGAAAAGTGGGGACGATTACAAAAAGTTGAGCTTTGGTTCTGGATGAAGCTCTGCTCACCTACCACGTCAACCGGCCTCAATGGATAGATAGATAGACTGAGAAGGACTGAAGACACGGACTTGCATTTTCATTTAACTTGACATCAATAAGATCCAACCTCCCTTCAGAGGAGAGAGCCGATATCCAGCAGTATCTCGGATACTGGGGCCAAGATGTTGCGGTTGGCTGTGACAGCTTTGAGTCTTTCATGGACTTTGTTCATCTTCAACATGAGCGGAGGTTACGCACAAGAGAGGCAGTAAGTAGCCTTCACGTTGCATGTGGTGTCTTCGAAGTGTAGTAGTGCGTTATGCTTCAAGCATTTCTGATGAGTTGTCATTTAATAAAACATGAAATACAGCTACAGCTTCACATAAAACTGAATATGACAGAATTACTGAGTTGGTGGGACTTGATTATTGCTGCAGCATTAACTTTTTAGCAAACATCTTGGCTATTAATCTAATCTTTATAAACAATCTGACAGTTTATGATGGCCAATTTGTGAATATGGATTTCATGCCATTACAGATAATGACATTGTACCATCACAACACCTTATCTTTGTACTTTTTCATACTTTTAATTCACTGTTGTGTTACTGGGCTTGCGATCAGTCACACAAATAGATACAGTATATTGAGAGGAAACCTGCATTGCCACTTCTGTTGGCCTTTAAATATATGCAATTAGAGCAGAGGTTTGCTCATGCCTTTTAATTAAGACAATGACATATATCAGTTCCTCAGTTTATCAGCAGCCTGTTTCATTCTGTTTACTCCTTCAATCCCAGAGGCAACACAAGTGAAATAGACTTTTGGCTCTTTGATGCCAGCAGGCTGTCAGCTGCTTGAGGGCTCAATCCTGTGTTAATAGTAAAAAAAAAAAAGTTGCAAACAGTTCTTTCAGGTTTTCTGTGGGTAGGTAAGGAGTGCTACTCAATGTAACACTATTTAACTACTGACAGTTGTAGGCTTGATTTACAAAAAAGAAGCTTGTGGTCTGCCGAGAATGAAGTTTGGGCAAAAGGTTAAGAACATAATCGTGACTAAATGAATAAACTGCTGACTGTTAGAGGCTTAACCTATAAAGGAGAACATAAATCCTTCTCATCTGAATATAAAAGTTTGGCAAAAACAGTGAGAATTTGAGCACATCAAGCCATGTGACTTGAAATGAGCATGGTCTTCACCACCTGATCCAGGCTCATCCAAGGGGTAGTTAAACTCACTGTAGATCAAACACAGTCAATTTCCTCGTATTATCATCCTCCTCCTGAAGCCTTATTTTCTGAGGGATTTTCTCATGACTTTCTTTCTCAGGAACTCAAGTTACCTCTGACTGTAATGTTGTAATGCCAACCACCTGATCCTTCTCTCAGGCATGCTTGAGTTTGGGCTCAAGGCTTTGCTCACTGAGAATTTGTATGATTTTCAGTTAAGGTTTTCAGGAGGTGAGAAGGCCCATTTACCATAAGAACTGGTCAAACAAGACTTTGAGGTACATAGCCTGCCATATGTGGTATAAGTAACAGAATGATACTCAGACACAATACATAATTTCAGGGATGCTTGTACTATATCATCTGCTCCTCGCACCCCTAATCAACACCTAACAGACCACACTCTACTGAAATTTAAATTGCCAAATTTTTCCAGACTTTATAAGCATCAGAGAATGAATGACCTTTGCCCTGTGACCTCAGCGACTGGCTCTGTCCCTAAATGAAATGTCAGAGTGATATGTGGAATCTTGGTTGGCATATTTTAAAACAGATGCCAAGTTTCTGTCAAAGCTGCCAGACCACCAAAAGAAAACACTTAGGCAGAAAGCTCATTGGCTCACGGGCAGTTGAACCTGATCTTGATGCACAAACCCAGGTGCAATGGCCCTGTTTATGCTTATTTCATCTGAATGATTTGTGGGAAACAACACTACAAATACATTGCCACATCCATCCATCCATTTACCTCCGCTTATCCGGAACCAGGTCACAGGGGCAGCAGTCTAAGCAAAGATGCCCAGACCTCCCTCTCTCCAGACACTTCCTCCAGCTCCTCCGGGGGAATGCT